GAACTAGCAAGTGGAAATATCCATTTTAATTACGGAGGATTGTTTGACCATAGGCTGCCCAAAAATGCGTGTTGAAATTTTTACCCTCGCGCGTGGCGCTCGGGCATGCATCGAGTCTACTCAGTTTATTATTATGATAAACTGAGTAGACTCGATGCATGCCCGAGCGCCACGCGCGAGGGTAAAAATTACAACACGCACTTTTGGGCAGCCTATGGTTTGACCAGTCAGCAATGAGAAAAAAAAATGGATGACGTGACGCGCCGTTGCGCGAAGGCGCAAGCCAAAGGGCTTGATCTCTGCAAACGATATTGTATCATACACCACCCAAAATGAAAAGAAAAGCCAAGAGTTTGATTATGTGGAAAGGGTTCAAAAGAACAAGAAAGAATTCGGGGAAATTGACCAAGAAATACATCAAAGTAAGAGACCGGTCATTATTTATGGCAGGGGTGGGGGCCGAAGAGAAAGTATAATGAAGCCGGAAAAAATCATTACCCCACCTTTTTCGAAACAAAATTTCTAGCTACCCCACCGGTGGAATGCCAGAAAAAATTTTACCCTACCCAAACCTATTTTGTTGCAATGTCAAAGGTTCAGACATAAAATATGTAATGAAACAGTTTAGTATTTTGTATGCGTATTACTCATCAAGGTACAAAATTGCCCTTGACGAGTAAGATCATTTGCTGTTAGAGAGTAAATAATAATTATTATAGGGTGCTTTGACCACAGTGGACATTATAATTAAAAGGGAATAGGATTGATTGGTAATACTTGTTTACCGGCCAATATCCCTTGCCTTCCCCTTATTTCGTGTGGATCAGTACACTAACAACAGTCATGCATTTATATTATGGGTTATCCCTACAATAGCAAGGTACTATATAAAGAATTATAGTTATCTGAAGGCTTAAAATTTGTCTACTTGTAAAATTGAAATATGAATGGGTTTTCATAGTTTGTATTCAACGCTATATTCCCTTTTCACGAGATAGTGCAATGCCAGTCCCATAAACATATGCTTCAATATTTTAGAACACTAACCGTATTTCACCACCCTATCTCTTTAATTCCCACTTTAAAGTTTCACTGTATATAATTTGGTTTCTTTCACATTCTTGCATTTCTTTATTATATTAATTAAAATGCAATTTTATTTTGAAACAGTTCACAAAATATGTGCTCACCCATGATTGCAACTATCTAAATTCTAAAATTTCCTCTGAAATTCCTTTAATATTTCCTTACTATAGACAATCACATGTATTATCACGGAATTTTAAAGGAATTCCTTAAGAATTCCCAAGGAATTCTTGAAGTTTATGAAATCAATTTAATATTTTAATTCGTAAACAATACAACGATACTAAAGTATTTGTCCCATGTGAGAATATCTGAATTTAGAAGGTTACTGTAAATTAATGAGAAAAAGTTGCTGTTATACAGTGTGAAGATACAGATATTCATCCGAATACCAAGTATGATTATATAAACAATTAAATTAATCTGTAAAACGGGTAAATAGATTTCTCTTATTTTTATATCCATGTATACATGCATGGTCTGATAGTAAAGAAAAACAACTAGAGTTGAACATATTGTGAACTAGCCATTGGAATGATTCTTCAGATTCACAAGGGGCATGGGGCATATTTCATGATTTGCTACCTGAATTGTCCACATGGTTTACAAGCACATACTGGATATAAATATTAGTTATGCAGTATCAAGTGTAGATGCCCAAAAATTAAATCCTGAAAATTTAATAGACTGTACATATACTTTTTGAGATATGTAATAAGGGGATGTTTATATGGGGGCGAGGCTGGATGCCCAGGGTTAGGGGCTACAGACTTAAGGTCACTTTTCCTGAAGCAAGATCTCCGGCTAAAGGGGCGGGATCTCGCTTAGCTATAGCTGGGCCCGCTCTTTACCCATATATACACAAGGTGAACTTTAGTAAGAAATAACAACAAAGGCAGGATCTCGCCAAAACTGGGCCAGCTTGGGTACCTGGGGTTGGCTTGCAGTTGGACCATATAAACTGCCCATATATATAGGCGATTTATGGAGATTTTGTGTGTAAATGAATATAAAACTGACCCTTTACGGGTGGGTTGAGGGGGGTGTTTCTGTCAACATTTTGGAAAGCAATAACATTTTATTAAAAAATTAGAATAATCACACATTAAACTCTGATCAATTGTAGTATATATTGTATTGTGTGTGATTAAAGTAAGGTTATTTTTTTACCCCACCTCTGCATGCAAGGATTTTTTGGCCACCCCACCTAAAGCAACTATTATTTTTCAGTTACCCCACCATTTTCTCTTCGGCCCCCACCCCTGCCATAAATAATGACCGGTCCCTAAGTATAATTAAAGAACATATTTTAAAGTTTTGTAATGAACCAAGAAAGCCGAGTTACCATTAGCCTGTGGGCAGACTCAACCCAAATTTATTAAATGCCAATTTGAGTTGACATTTACAAAATTCAAGTTGAGTTGATCTGCACCCAGGCTAGGGTGACACACAAAACCAAATTAAGTTGGCGGTAGGCTTAGTATGGTTTATAATTCATATAATACAACTCGTGCATGTAACTCATATAAGCATATTTTCTTTAGGCAAAACAATTACATACCATTTTAAGTACAAAAGAACAACTGGTATTTACACTTGTCCGTTTGCGCCATTGCCCAACTATGGCTGTGCTATGTGACTGGTTTGGCATATCTTGTGCTAGTGGAAGCAAGATTTTTATCACATGGATACTGTTCCTTGAAAAGGAATTAAAATTTTTGATAAAATTTGAAACTTTATCCGAGATGGAAGGAATTTCCCGCCCAAAATGTTATGAAGAAATGAAAAACCTTCGGGCAATAATTGACTGTACAGAACTCTACATTGACAAACCTTCAAGGCCGTCAAGCCAGCGAAATACCTACAGCCAATACAAGTCAAGAAACACATTTAAAGTGTTGGTGTCACAATCCCCGTTATGTCATTTTAACTTTGTTTCTAATGCTTATTCTGGATCAATAAGTGATAAAGAAATAGTTCAGAAATCTGGATTTCTTGATTATTTGGAAGAAGGTGATATCGTAATGGCTGATAAGGGTTTCAACATTCAAGACCTTTTAGCTATCCAAGGTGTTCGTCTTATAGCCCCACCAATTATGAGAAAAGACAATGTATCAGCTTGCGCTTCCACATTAACCCGAAGAATTGCTACCAAACGAGTTCACATTGAACGAATGATTCGAAAACTTAAGAGTTTTGCAATCCTGAGAAAATGTCTTCCTCTAACATTCAAAGGGTATATAAGTTCAATTGTTAAAGTGGTTTCATCATTGGTAAATTTACAACCACCTATCATAAAAACCTAAAAAATAATTAAGAGGAATTTGTAGATGCATGGGAAAGTTGCGTGGACATTATATACATTTATGCACCTATCAATGTTAATGGGGGGGGGGGGATGTCGGGCATATGTGGGGTATTTGATCATCAATTGCATCCCCACCCTGGGGATTTTGATTACCGGTAGCATGTTGGCCCGGAGTTGGGGCAATTTGAACCGAATGAGTTTTATTAACATAGTATTTATTGCAATTTATTGCAAAATCAAAAAATCAAATGCCCCACCTATGTCCGAACCCCCCCCCCCCCCCCCCC